TCATCGAGGAGAAGATGACCCTAACTCAGTCTTGAAAATTGTGTCCAATACCTGTTCGTTCAGGACCTGTTTGTGACTTTTCAAAACGACTTTTCACTTCATTATGGATGCGACATTTGCCTCAGGAACTTTGTCTTTTGGGTTGCTGCTCGTGAATTTAAGTTCTGCCTGACAGGGCCCCTCGCTGTTGGGCATACATCTGGGGTCTAATTCGTAAAGGCCCTTTTATTTGATTGTATCTGGATTCAAACTTGGGTCTGTGTTTCAACAGTTTGTGGGTGTACCAACTGAGCTAGGCCTGTCGGTAATAGGAGGGAGTTATCAAGTTTGTGAAAGCTAGAGCCTTTCTTGATGTACTGCTCAAAACCGATGATGAGCTCAATAGGTTTATGGTCCAGACCCAGATAGGGAGCGAGGGACAAAATCTCCGAGTCTCCGAGAGCAGGAATTCTTTCGTTCTTTCTTTCTTTCTTTTTTATTTCCCTCCTCTTCTTCTCCCAACAGGCCCTTATGGTCCTGGCTCCCAGTCCGGTTCCTTTTCTGCTGGCAGGTCATGTGTTACATCCCCTGTATGAGGTGGATTAACTGTCAGCTTGCCTTCTCATGAATTACTCTCAGATTCAAACACTGAACCTACCAATTATAACTTTCCACAACAAGAATCCCGAGATAGACTTTGACATGCTGTGCCTGAGGCTGCTCTTGGCAGCTTTGCCCCCTGTTCCTGTCTACTCCTTGACGATGGCTTCTCCTCTCACCCTCCCTGCCTTGTGGGACTCTGGGGTCCCTCTTGTAGGGTTACCTGTCTCCCCAATTCTGGGTTCGAGTTATGCCAGTCTTTCCATTGTAGCCTCTGTGTGGATTTCACCCGCCTTACCTCTGGCCAACCAGATTTTCCTGAAGCTTGCCAACTGTTGCTGTTCAGAATCGGGGTAGATTTGAATAGCCTCCTTCACCCTTCTCCATTTGCACTGGATCTCTGTTTCTATCACGCCCTTTGTTACCGTCCACACTTTGTCGTGCCCGTTCTGGGTCTTGCCAAGTGTCCTGCTGCGCCTTGCCTTCCATATAGCTCATAATGCCACTTTGTCAAATCATTCCGAAACATGTCCTCTCTGATTTCTCAAACTGGGAAGGGATGTTAGTCCAGAGGAGTTGCATGGGGTGTTCAAGGGAGGTGGAAGAGAATAGACGGTCCCACAGGTCCGAGGCTCTGGATCAATTCCTCTTGTTCCTGATCTGAACAAACTATGCATAGGTCCAAGCTGTTAGGGTCACTGTTCTTGACCTGAACAAACTGTGCATAGGTCCAAGCTGTTAGGGTCGCTGTTCCTTCTACCGATGTGTAGCCAGCGATTGACAGGCAGGGTAGCATGTGTGATTAACCATTGGAGGCTTCTAACCTTGACTGGACAAAGTGTTTTGAATTTCTTCCGTATTTTGGAAATTTGGTTGGCTTCTTCCCCTGGTAGCCTTGTCCATCTGTGTTCAATAGTTGGTGCTGGGTCCTTTGTCATGAGTAGCATCTTATCCTATTTTGACTGAGTACACCGAGATTGGTATGACATTAGTGCTTCTTCTTTTCCCTGTTTGCCAGCCCCACTCTGCTGGGTCAAACTCCAGATCCTGTATGGATGAGCTGATCTGAAAAATGGTTTTTGGCCATTGCCCCAAAACTCTTATCTTGCATAGGGTGTAGACGTTGAAGGTGATATCTTCTATGCCCTTGTTAAACCACCAGTACCTTACCCCGCTTGAAAAACAAATGTCCGCCGGTTAACACGGGAGGCGGGCGGGTTCGGAAGTACCGGCGCGAAATGGCTGGTGGTGCCAGCCAAAACGAGTTACGCACCGGTTCGTTTTTTTTTGGCACGCAGGTGCATTTTAGGTTCGGCAACGGTAGCTGAGAAAGGTGATTTTTAAGGATCAAACGACATTGGGGTTGGTTGGGTTGGTTGGGTTGCGTCCAGTTGATTTAGCTCAGTGGTTAGAGCACTGGTTGGAAATGTGCATTGTGGTATGAGGTTACGGGTTCAAAACTCCGCAGCCTTGCGCATTGACACCGGCAGGGCGTTCAAATGACACACGGCTGGACACACACTCAGCCCCTGGGCTGACACATGGTACTATTACAGACAGCCTGCGCACCACCCGGGGGTCAGTCCATAGGTGTTGTATGCTGGTCTAGACTTCACGTTGGTTGCTTGCTGTTGTTGGCTTTGGTTGCTCTGATGATCTCCCCCAGCCAAGACATTTCACACATTATACCCACTTCCCATGGTAGTGCATGTGGTAGAACCCTCCAGTCTCATATTGTAGGTCACAGGTTCGAGTCTGGTTCCGAACTTTGGGGGGTCCTGTCCAGATAGGCCTGTCTCTACCACACACACACACACATGAGATACTATCCCATATATTATCTACAGGGCACAAACACAATACACCGTCTATCACATACCATAAACACACATAGCTCAAGGCACACACACATGTACTAGTGGAGGTGATAAGAGCACCTCTCACCGGTACTGGCTTCGCAGATGCTCCATGGGGGGGAGCAGCGTCTGCCATGAAATCGGGTCCACACACACATTACGGACATACACATAGCCCACGAGCCACACCTATGATACAGACTACATACACACATACACAACGATAGGGCTGGCAGGAGGTCATGATCAACTGATAATGATGATAGGTGTCTCGATGATAAGTACCCCCCTTAAAATCAGCTAGGACTGTGGAGGGCGAGTAGAGGGCGTGAGTCGCTGGTTGGTCGGGATCAACTAATGATGATGATAGGTGTCTCGATGATAAGCCCCCTTAAAATCAGCTAGACTGTGTGTGGCAGACTAGGGCTGTGGTGGGCGAGTAGAGGGCGTGAGTCACTGGTTGGTCTGGATTAAGTGATGATGATGATAGGAGTTTCGAGGATAAGTACCCCGCCTTAAAATCACCTTACCAGTTGGCCAACTCAGGGGCTAGTAAGAGATTGCTTGGGCCTGGCGTCTGAAGTTCCCGTGCCACGAGGCTCGTTTGACTCCGCTTCCACCGGGGCTGGGTCATGGCTAGCCCTGGTGCCTGTCACTACTGTTCAATCCAAGTTCCCCTCGATACTAAGTAGGGGTAATGGTCCTGAGTGCTGGTCACACTGAGATAGGATAGTAGAGATAGGGGGTGGGCTAGGAGTATTGACGTGCAGATGAGATGGGAGGTAGCCTTGTTCCCTCAGGACAACGATGGCTGGCCACTCCAGGCAATCAATGTGTGCCTAGTAACCGGCCTCTACAACACCCTGGGCTTTTCTTTAACAAAGAAGAAGAAGAAGAAGAAGAAGAAGAAGAAGAAGAAGAAGAAAGAAAAAAGAAAACCGACATTGGGGTTGGAGTAGCAGATAGGGAAGGATATGAATGCTGCTGCAAAGTTCCCTGCTTGTTTTCCAGGAGAGATTTGGCAGGCCTTGTTTGGGACAGTTTCTTTGATTTTGACCCCCATTCGTCTGCTTTCCATGCAAATTCTTCCTTTAGAAGCTCTTTCCAAGTTTCTGGGATGCATCTGACCATCTCATCTAGGTTTTCTTTGCGGCAGTGGCACCCTTTAAGAATGACTTTGAGCTCGTTTTCTCCAAGCCAGTCTCTTTTTCCCCCATTCCAGATGTGGCTTATTTAAAGTTATTCAAAATCCCACGATTCACTCATGAGGGCCACTGCTTTTCCTTCAGGGCTAGGGACCATGGATGGTTCCCATCATCGCGAATCCCCGGGTTGCCGAAGAGGGGTCTACCCTGCTGTCTTTGACTTTTTCAAAATTCAAATCATTAACTTCTGAGTCTAGAGTCTAGACCCTATCTCAAGAAGTCTCGTTCTTGAGTCTAAGCTCTAACTCAAGAAGCCACCGTTCTTTCTTCCTTTTTTTGAAGTTCTTCCCTTTTTTTTTTTTGTTTTTTTTTTTTGTTTTAGTGGGGGTTAGCCACAAACGTATTGTATCAGGCATGACTTGAACTCATAACCTACTTCTCAACAGCTCCATGTGTGTACCATTCAGCCACAAGTCTGGGGTAGAATTGGACTCATCATGAGTCACTCCTCGGCTTGAATTGAAGCCATCCAGAGTGCATTCACTTTCTAACTGCATAACGCTCTTCCGTTGGCCAGAAAAGTAGCACAAGAGGGGCTGATACTTTTCCTTAATACACAAATTATGAAACAGCAGTCGTTTGTCTGGTTGGTGGACAGTTGAAGTGTGAATTGTTGAAGCTTGGAATCGAAGTGTTTGCATGCTTTGCTCTCCCCAGTGCCTCGCTGTTGCCACAACTTTCTCCCTTCTCCCTGTTGTCTGAACCGGTGGCCAATCTTCCTGTGCCACCTCCGAATAATTGGAAAGTTCCCTTCAGCTCGGCAGCCCTATTCCGCACGCCCTGTGCTCTTTATACTAAGTTGATAGTTGTTTCACATGTACACCATGTAACTTGAATCACTGTTTCAATCAAGGCGGTCATTTCCCTCCTCTCCTGCTTCTTCGAAGCGGACCTGTTCTTGAATGCGGATTGCAACGATCTTTCTACATAATCCACAGAATAATAGTATTCTTGACTCCTCCACAGACCATTCTTCAAGATGACTCACAGCATATTCTTCCCAACGATGCACAAAGCAGCCTTCCTCAACAATTCCAAGAAATGAGCTGGGAAAGAATTGTGCTCATTTCGTGGCCATGGTCGATCCACAAGAAATTAGTAAATTGCGCTTGGCTTGAGGTATTCCTCGCGTTTCATGCTAAGAACAGTGAGGGGTATAGATGGAAAACACCTGCAAATCTTTTAATCAGATATGGCAGACCCGTAGGTTTGACTCTCATGAATGGGGATGGGTCAGTTTAGTCACTCTCAACATGGGGACAAGAACTTAAAAGACAGAATTTAAGCAATCAAGACTCACAAAAAAAAAGAACCCAATGAAAATTCATTGAAAGACAGTATTTCAGGTATGGCTGACTACCTCATTCTGGAACTCATATGTTCCAGATCGCCTCTCAGGATCAGCTCTCTTAATGGCCACCTCTGCTCCCGAAGAAAGTCTCCCTTTATAAACCTTCCCGTAACTTCCTTCACCCACTATGTTCGAGCCGTTGAACTCGTCCGTAGCCTTCTGCATCTCACGCAATGTGAACTTTTGGACAAACCGATATCTATAGCTCTCTGCAAACACAGAGAACGGGAAGGCAAACCGTGCGAAGAAAAAGAAGCCATGAGCAGCATAAAGATTTCTTTCTTGTGCAATACGATCCAACAACAACAGTTGCAGCAGTAGCAACAACAACAGCAACACCAACAACTAGTACAACAGAAGCAGAAGCAGAAGAAGCAGAAGCGGAAGAAGAAGAAGAAGAAGAAGAAGAAGAAGAAGCGGAAGAAGAAGAAGAAGAGAAGAAGAAGAAGAAGAAGAAGAAGAAGAAGAAGAAGAAGATGAAGTGTGGTCCTCAGACAACGCATCAAGTACGAAAGGAACAGCTATTCTCGTACCTAAATCCTCCAGGCTATACACGGCAGGGTCGATAGTGGGGAAAGAGGCAGATATGGTAGAGGGCAGATGGTGCCTTATGGACGTCAASTGGAAGGAGGAAGAAGTCAGAATAATTAATGTCTATGCACCAAATGTTTCTTCAGACAGATCAACATTTATAACAAACATAGGCCATATGATCCCCCCTCTGTCAGACTGCATCTTAGCTGGGGACTGGAACGCAACAATAGACCCTGTCACGGACCATATATCTAGATCCTCGACAGGTCAGACTACACAGGAGGCGGTACCCATACAAAAGTTGATGATGGACTACAATCTGGTTGAACCATACCGGACCTTGCATCCGGGGACGAAAGCCTTCACATTACTGAAGAAGAACCACGCCCACCATACTGCGTTCTCCTTCATTGACTATTTCCTCATCTCAGGGACATTAATGGGGACAGCCAAGCACCGACATTTTGCCCCTCGCACCGTACTCGGGTCTGGACCATAAACCCATCGAACTCATAATTAGTTTCGAACATTACATCAGAAAGGGGTTCAGCTTTCACAAACTCAATAACTCTCTCCTACTGAGCCAGACTTTTCAGGGAGGAGTTAAGGAGTGTTGGCAGAATCTGAAGGGCGCCTATTTACCCATACATGATCGGTGGAATTGGTTCCAGGAAAGCTACTCTGCTTTATCACAAACGGTGGCTAGAATTTCAAGGAACTTAGCGTCCGATAGGAAACAGAGGAAACAAGCGTTGGAGACAGCCTTGAAGATTGCAGAGACTAATCTTATTGATAATCCCTCATCTGTACTCTACACAGACATTTTTGAAAAAGCGAGAGAGGAACTTACCATGTGGAGATGGTGGGAACTAAAGGGACTTCAAATAAGAGCCAGAATGACCGAATATGAGCTAAGTGAGTCCATGTCGAAACACTTCTTCGCAAGAATCAAAGCAAACTCCAGAGCTAACGCAATGGTTGAATACTCTCTCAAACCCAACTGAAACCGTCACAGATAGCGAAGGGATGTCGAACATAGCCAAGGATTGCTACAAAGAGCTTTATCACACCAAGACCCCTATGCCTACTCCGCCAAGCACCAGAGAAGCACGAACTAGGATGCTGCAATACCTGGAACGGATGATATCTCAAGAACAAGCAGAAGCCATGGATAAGCCCATCACCATTGAGGAATTGCATTTTGCAATCCAAAATATGAATAGTAACAAGTCCCCAGGAATCGACGGGCTGACAAAAGAATTTTGGGAAAAGTTCTGGCCACTCTTAGGGGGCGATCTGATTAATTTCTATAACGACAGCTGGCACAAAGGGGGATTGGGAAACCTATTGAGCAGTAGTGTGGTCACTTTGCTTTACAAAAAAGGGGAGAGAGAAGACAATCAGGAATTATAGACCCATCTCGCTTCTAACGCTTCCCTACAAGATCTTAGCCAAAGCACTAGCTTTTCGAATCCTGGACCTGACGGACAAATGCTTCCATATAGATCAAACAGGCTTTATCCCTGGGAGATACATTCTAGACAACATACTAACCCTCAGCGAAGCGGCCAATAAAGTYAGAGAAAAAAGGATAAACACAACAATTMTTTTCTTTGATTTTGAAAAGGCKTATGACCAGGTCAACTGGGCCTTTCTCAATKCAAGCATGGAAAAGATGGGAGTGGGCCCGRATTTTAGAAAGTGGGTGCGAATCCTATATAATGATGCYATAGGGTGTGTTCAAGTCAATGGTCTGCTTTCGGACTGCTATCCAATATCTCGGTCAGTYCGACAAGGGGACCCACTAGCTSCCCCAATCTTCCTCTTCGTGATGGAAGCAATTGCGTCATTTCTACGCAAAGACCCATCCATTCACAGACTACCAGAGGTTAATGTAGGCACAGCCCACCATCTAAAGTTCCCGACAGTAATAATGTTCGCTGACGACCTCACGGTCCTCATAAGAGCTTCAGACTCGTCGTTCAGTGCGTTAGTAAGAGCAATGGAGGCATTCAGACTGGCATCAGAAATGAAGATTAATTGGAAAAAGACAATTGGATGGTGGCTATCGGAGGAAGACGCTCCCCAACTTCAAGGCCCGGAGGCAGAAATGACATGGGAGTCACCACAGACTCCTACGAGATATTTAGGCATCTTGTTGACGAAGGACGACTTTGCCCCTCAGATGGCTCAAAATGTACTAGTAAAACAAATTAACAAACTAGGTAGGTGGGGCAACACATTCACATCGTTGCTGGGTCGGGCACTAGCTATCAACACAGCGATTTTCTCAATGATGTGGTATATTGCTTCAATTTGGACTGTTCCAGATCATTCAATCAAGGAACTTAACCGTAAAGCCAGGGCCTACTTGTGGTCGGGCGACCCCAACAAAGAGAACTGCATACCAAAGAT